GACCTTTGTTGGCAAAGTAATGTCTCTGCTTTTTAATATGCTGTCTAGGTTGGTCATAACTTTCCTTCCAAGGAGTAAGCGTCTTTTAATTTCATGGCTGCAATCACCATCTGCAGTGATTTTGGAGCCCCGCAAAATAAAGTCAGCCACTGTTTCCCCATCTATTTGCCAGCCCAGTGTCATCTAGCCAGTGATGTTTACTAGCAACAGTGGCAGAAACAGAAAAAAAGGGAAAGCTCCTCTGGTTCTTTCTGAACAGCCTCCCTAAGTGGGGAGCCTGGACAGATCAGGACAGGGGGTATATTGCTCTTAGACAGAGCAATGAGTAGGGCTACATGTATCAATACCAATAGGTTTTATAAGCAGATTATGAAAAGGAAAATTACAAAATGATGCATGTTGTCAATTTTCTCTCAAAAATTTAGTATCTTTCCCCCACTCCTCATCCCACAAAATTAAATGGACTAAGATTTACATCAATTGCTTTTATTTAAAGCCCTAAAGTTCCTTTTTTTCCCCGGGTTGAAATTGTTTATTGTATCATCTCTAAGCGCCAGACACACGTTCTTAATATGGAAAAAAAAAAAAAATTTCCCCGGACCTTTTGGAATTAGGGGCCGGGCCGGGCTTTTTTCCTTAATTGTGGAGCTTGTTGCAAAATGAAAACATGGGGCCCCTTATTCAAGAATTATTAAGTTTTAAGACAGTGACAGGAGAGCATTAAACCAAGGATGGTCCTTCTAAGTGGAGAGCCTGTGTAACTGCGTGGGTTGCACACCCATGATGTCAGCAAGGGGGTTATAGGTTTCTAAGTACACAGAGGGGTGTATCTACACATCCAGTTTGCTTTCTTACTAGTTACACACTACTGAAATGCTTGGAATCATTCACTAGCTTGCTTCTCCCTAGTAAAAGCAGCTCTCTGGACTCCATACCCCATTCCAAAGTCAAGAAGACAAAACAAGTGGAGAGGCAGTTCCAGCCAAAACGCTAACTGCTACTGGGAACAAACGTTATAGCATACTAGTCCTCTGTGTCCTGTGAGTTGAACCATCAACAGCAACTTATGAAACATATTTGTAGACAAGTATGTCATATGGAATTTCTGTTGCTTCCCCCTCCCTCCCCCCGCCTTGGCTATTACAAGACTTCAGAGGAGTGCAGAGAAAACTAAAATTAGAGCAGATGGGCCTCCACAACTTTGCATCTTGAGTTTGGATACATTTCTCAGCTGCTTGCATGATCTGGTGAAGGCGGAGGGCAATGCTTACAGAATTACCAAAGATAATCTGGGGATTCCAGGGTTCCCAGTAAATTTGATTTTATATCATCTAGGAATAAAATCAGGTAGAAATATTCTAAGACTATGTTACTAGCCTATACATTTTTTTCTATTTTGATCACAAAGCATTCTAAATAACCTCTCTTGTACCAAGTTTGGTAGAAAAAAGAAAAGTGCAGGCAGCTAGGCCTTCTCCTTGGCTTCAGTTAGGTTCCCTCATCAATACTGGCTTAATTGATAATTGTATAATATAGGCAAGTTCTACATTTTAAAAGATCATAAACAAGGCTACTTAGGCATAAAGTGGTGAAGCATATTTTCTTGATTTTAAACCAAAATATAGGCCTTATGATAAAAATACTGCACAACCTAGCACAGAGTAGGTACTCGGTATATGTTATGGAACTGTGAAGCCGGAAGTTAGGCATGAGCAAAGAGTGGTGGCCTGGCAGAAAAGGATGCAAGCTGATCCCTAAACCCCACCCCAGACACACCCAGGAGAGCTGAGACATGCTACAAAAATAACCACAGAGACTTTTCCAACTCCTGCAGATGTGCCCTAGGCGCTGCTGTTAAGTCGCTTCAGTTGTGTCCTTGACTCTGTGTGAGCCCATAGACGGCAGCCCACCATGCTCCTCCGCCATCCCTGGGATTCTCCAGGCAAGAACACTGGAGCGGGTTGCCATTTCCTTCTCCAATGCATGCAAGTGAAAAGTGAAAGTGAAGTTACTTAGTCGTGTCCGACTCTTAGCCACCCCATGGACTGCAGCCCACCAGGCTCCTCCGTCCATGGGAGTTTCCAGGCAAGAGGACTGGAGTGGGGTGCCATGGCCTTCTCCGACCCTAAGCACAGTGGATACAAATTAACCTCAGGGGCTTCTCCAACTCTGGCACATGCCCCCTTGATGCACAGCTGTGTCCTGAAGTAACTTTAGGCAGCCAGGAGCCCATTAAGGGTTCGTAAATATTCTATACATACAGACATCTGATATAACAGACTGAATTATGGGAAAGACATGCGCAATAGAGCCTGTTGTTATGTAACTTGCAACTGCCAATCAAAACTCTCATGTAGATGAATATGTGTCAGTCCCATTTTGCATGTGCCCAGACACACCCCCTTCCCTGATTGGCCTTAAGTGTATGCCCATTTGCATTTTGCCTTAAGTGTATGCCCATTTGCAGAACCAAGAGGAGAAGATGCAGTAAAAAAGGGAAACCAAGCGGGATCATGGCCACTCCTTCGGGGTCTACCCACTCTGGTGTCTTGGCAGTGTACTATCCGCTATCTATTTAATAAAATATCTGTCTGCTTCAGCTGTAACCAGTCTGTTGTTTTGAATCCCTGCTTCAATGAGACAGGAGCTAAGAAATCCTGCCTGCTTGAGTTGTAGTCTGTCATTCCAAATCTTTGTTACGATGAGACAAGAGCTGAGGGAGGGAAATAAACTGATGTGACAAAACAAATAGAATGGATACTTTGGTACTCATAGAGTCACTCTTTAATTAGAATATAGTTGCTGTAAATGGCCAATGACTCAATCACCAAAAAATACTGATTTAACCCATTATATCTATAGTTGTATTTTGTAATATATTATTGTATGAGGCTTCACTTACCAGATCTCAGCATTCTCATAGAGTCAATGCAAATGGAAGGTAAGTTCAGGAAATGTCTATGTGGTACATTTGCAAAGGGCTTACAGATATTTTTAAATTTATTTCCATGTTTCTGTACAATAAATTCTGAAATTAGCAGAGCAAGAATTATTATAGAAGAAAGAGAGGGGCTGGGAAGTGTCTAAAGCCTGAGAATGAGTGGCAGAGCCAGGAAAAGGGTTGTTTCCTGATCATAAACTAACACCATGTGTACGACATTGGACTATCTTTCTACTACAGGGCTTGCAAAAGGAGATGCAAAGAGAAGGTAAAATGAATCCGAATGGAAGAGAATTAAAAGGAATCAGAAGTTCTTTTAACATTACTTAAGGCTTCCATATAACCAGAGACTTCCCATTATTGTCTGAGGATATCCAGGATCAAAAGTTGACTGCACTTTTTTTCTGTGGTTAATCAAATTTGGGCACAAGTGCTTGGAGAGGCAACAAGTCTCTTAAAGACAGAGGTAGCAGTCAGTGAATGTCATCAGAGCAGACCTCTGGAAAGCCTGACCAGCAAGTGGACATTAGAAGCAAGGACATCTCACATCCCAGTTAAGTGGTTAGGAACTGCTGAGGGCGGTGTTTGATTCAGCTGGCAGTATTCTGTGCTTGGCTCTCTCCAAGAGTCCCAAACTGACAATAGTCATTATTATAACTTAAAAAATACCATAATTCCTTCAAATGTAATGGAGAAGGCAGATAGTGACTTGGCTTGGATCTCTCTCAGCTGCAAGATAGTAGCATGCCCTCAGGAGAGTCTCTTTGCCCACTTACACATCAGTTTTCTACTTTGAAAAATGGGGGTTGGATTAGACAATCACTGAATCCTTTCTGTTTCTAAAATTGTATTCTAGCTACAAATAGACATTCTAGTCTAATGAAATTCAGAGGCAGAACTCAGGCTAGAAACCCCAGAGGTAGAAATATCATAAATAAAGTTTATGATGTAACTGGCATTGAGTTCTACTAAGTGAGGAAATTGAATAACGTCAGAATAAGTCTAGTCCTTTTACAAACTAGCCTGGATTGATGCACATGGTTGGTCATTTGGGGACTGTCTATACTTTTTTTTTTTTTAGCAATTCTTTTATCTCTATGTGATTAATCACTGTATTTCCTACAACATCTATTCCACACATCACTTTTTTTTTTTTTGCTCTCTTCACACCAAAGGACATGTCTTGATGCCCCATTGTCAACATCCTTACTGCCAGTCTTAGACTGT